GGTCGAGAAGGTTGACATGGTAACATGGGTCTAACGTTGGCCCAATGTGGTTCCCCCAACGCCAACCTTACAACCTTTTACCTGTGTTGGCCCAACATAGTCATGCTATCTGGGAAGAAACAAAAGTGAAAATGAAATGATTATGTATGCCATATCACACATATGAAAACAAGGATAAACCTTTTGTAGATTCTTACTTTTTCTTTTATTACATTCCTTATAGATCACAATTTAGTAAGTCTGAATTCCATGGGTAACAGACATAATGCATTTAATGGAATTATATCATAATTTATGCAAAAGGACTTATTAACATTATGAAGTTTCCTTAGTATATTTTAGACAAAATAAGACTGTGCTTATATGAATGTTAGAGATATGAGATCATATAAGAATTACACAGTAATTAAATTAAACCATATAATCATGGTTAAATGCAAAGATGACCTTCATAGGAAATGTAAACAAAACAAAGACAAACTTACCAGAATTATCCAATTATATGCCCAATTAAATAATCCAGTGAAACAACATCTTAGCTGATCCTGAAAAAAAGCATACAATATTCAGTGATACTCAATTTAACCTCATTTTACAAAGGAAGTAAAGCAACAATTGACAGACAAACAGGACAGAAATGTAAAAGATACCATATGTATTTTACTAAAATTTAGTAAACATTTTTCTGATTTAAATTTAATCATGGAATGACCCATCATAGTAATATTAAATACACTCTGGGTTACATGCAAATTATACCTTACATGAACTGAGAATAAATACCCCATTTACATTCATAGAAACAGAACTTTTACATAAACAATTACTCTTTTAACTGATGTCACCATTAGTATGTCAGAATATTCAGGGTGTCCTAATCATATACATTTACTTATAATGTACTCAGTATATATTTTACATGTTGATGTTTGAAATCACTGACTAAATAAAATACATACATGTATATACATGAAGGTTTAAAAAAAGGGGGGGGGGACACCTGTTTATAGATTTACAGAGATGCTCAGACTGAGTTTTTCCCACTTTCATTGGGCCACTGTTGCACCAGAATGTAAAAAATATGAGTGACAAATAAGGCAAAAGATTCTGTATATTTCATTAAAAAAGATTTGAGACAAAAGATTCATTGGCATAATATGATCTGATTGATTATCTCCATATCCTTCTTTTGGTCACTGTGATTAAAGATTCATAGAAATATTAGAAATAACAACTGAGAATATCACTTTAGTTGTTTTAAAAGCATGTATCAGTATTTTATAAGATATGCTATGAGGCTCCTCATAAGAATATTTAGAATACTGATCCAATAAAAGGAATGTGAGACAATATGATCATAACTCATGCAAAAAAGATTTATCAACATTTTGAGGATCTCTTAGTCCTAGTGTATTTTAGGGTAAACAATGGCAGTGTTTATATGAATGTTCTAAACATTAGGTATATAACACAGTAATAATGAATAAATACAAAGATGACCTTCATAGAAAATGTATAAAGAAAAGTTTGTTAAAACTTACCATGTTTATACTCAGTATATAGTAATATTCATTAAATAATCCAGTGAACTAATATCTAGCCTGATCCAGGATTCAGCTGTTCAGAACTTTCTTGGAAGAAAAACGGTAGAAAATCAGTTTTGGTACTGAAATCCATAGGACCATACTGTTATTACATGAAGTCTCAAGCGCTGTGAAAGTCTGTGTTATTGTGTCAAAATAAGCAGCCATCGCGGCTTGTGAAGGACTAACATGACGTCGCTGCCAAGATTATGACGTCACAATGCATAGGTAAGTTTATCGTACTTTTTGCACACGGCACTTTATAGATGATGCAAACACGTATATAAGAAAACACAGGTACAAGGTATATTTCTTTTTGCACACGACCCTAATTTTTTTTGCACACGGTCCTTACAGTATAGTGTAAAACACTATATTTAGAGCTATATACTGAATCCCCACCTTAGTCCCCAATAGGGTTAAGGGGGTTAAGGGCTAAGGGGGGTTAGGGTTAAGGTTAGGGTTGGGGGGGGGGTCCAGGTTTGTTATTTGTCTTTCAGTAAAAAAAAAAAAATCCAGTTTGAACTGCATGGCTTAGGCTAGACTGCTAGACTGTGAATGAAAAGTGTGACGTCATAATGACATTCTTGAAATGTTTTTTTTGCACACGGCCCCAAAGTATTATACCTGTATAGTTTAGCATAAACAAAACGTAGTACCAATGTAAACATAGTGTAAACACCATATTTAGGGTTATATACTGACCCACCTAGCCCAGGGTTAGGGTTAGGGGTTAGGGTTAGGGGTTAGGGATAGGGATAAGGGTTAGGGTTAGTTAGGGCTAGGGGGTTAGGGTAAGGGGGGGGGGCTAGGGTTAAGGGGATTAGGGTTAGGGTTAGGGGCTAGGGTTAGGATTAGTTAGGGTTAGTTAGGGCTAGGGGGTTAGGGTTAGTTAGGGTTAGTTAGGGCTAGGGGGTTAGGGTTAGTTAGGGCTAGGGGGTTAGGGTTAGGGTTAGTTAGGGTTAGAGTTAAGGGGCTAGGGTTAGGGGGTTAGGATTAGTTAGGGTTAGTTAGGGCTAGGGGTAAGGGTTAGGGTTAGTTAGGGCTAGGGGGTTAGGGTTAGGGCTCAACCAATCAAAACTGATCACGTGATTTCTCTCAGCCAATCAGAATCCTCCCCTATCTAGACGGTTTATACTACTGACGTCGTAATCACTTTCAACTTTCTTTTCCCCGTATTTTACGGCTCTGATAGAATGAAGTAGAAAAGAAAGTATTTTCATGGAATTCAATTTGAAATTACATGAAAAGTAGTCCCGATATATTAAATTAACTATATTAATAAAATAAACTATATTAAATTTGATATTATTTAAAAGAAGAGGCGAAGAACATACAAATTACCGTTTTCTGAAAAACTGTAGGCAATCTTGATATATTTTCTATGTCTAATAATGAAAAATCTCCCATATTCCTGGCTGGGTTTCTTAAATTTTCATTGAAAATGACAGTTTAAAATACAATTTTTCGTCTTATTTACCTACAAATTATGCCCCGAAAGACCTTATTTGACCAAGCCAGAGTTATAGAGCACCATTAATGGAATTCATTTCTCAAATTTTATAGATCTGTAGGCACCTTTCATTTACTAGATCTTGACCTTAAAAGTATCAAAGTCTTTATTATAAAGAATTTGGAGAAATTATGAGACTGTGCTTGCCACAGCTCCTATAATCCTATAAACTTTAGAAAAATATACCAAGCCAGGTGAATTTAATTAGGAAAAGCTAAATGGTAAAAATCAGCCTTTGTGATATTGCTAATTTTTTGTCATTTTGATCTTCCTCTTAAAATTCACCCGGCTTGGTATATTTTTCTAAAGTTTATATTACACTTTTAGCACCAAGGTAACATATTCTGAAATTTGTTTTCACCTGTAAACCTTCACTGAATGTGATTTGTCTATATTTGTTTTTTTATTGAAATATTACTAATATTTTCCAAGTCTATTTAATTTTCCAGTTTTTTGGAGAAAAATTTTTAAGAACCATCCACTTTTCTAAACTTGTGACATGATATTAAAACTTTTTCAAAGAAAAAATTTGTTTGTATCATCTGTCCTTAAATACTGTATGTAAAATAGCCTCTGGTTCTATTGCAAATAGACTAAAGACTTATCTGGATAAACTTATCAATCCTGATCAAACGGGTTTTATTTCTAACAGATATATAGGGGAAAACACTCGTCTTATCTATGATATAATGCAGTACACTGAGGAGGAAGAAATTCCTGGTCTTCTACTACTTATTGATTTTGAAAAAGCCTTCGATACTGTTTCATGGAAATTCATACAAAATACCTTAACATATTTTCAGTTTGGACCTGATATACACAAATGGGTAAAATTATTCTATCATAATATAACTTCTGCTATTAATCAAGGTGGCAATCTCTCAGCATCCTTCAATATCCATAGAGGCTGTAGACAAGGGGATCCGTTATCACCATATATTTTTCTATTTTGTGCAGAAATTTTAGCTATACAAATAAGAGAAAACAAAAAAATCAAAGGAATTATTGTTTGTAATAATGAAAAGAAAATTTCACAACTAGCTGATGATACCTCAATTATCCTTGATGGTAGCAAGGAATCACTTTTAGAAACAATCAAAGTATTAGAACATTTTTCAGATATATCGGGACTAAGAGTTAATTTTTCGAAAACTAATACAGTATGGATTGGATCCAAAAAATATAGTCAAGTTATCCTTTATAGAGATTTTAATCTGAAATGGGGGACTAATAGATTCACTTTACTTGGAATTAATTTTGATGTAGAACTTCAAAATATGTCTAAATTGAATTATCAGCCAAAGTTAAGGAGAATAAAATCAATCTTGCATCAGTGGGAGAAAAGACACTTAACACCAATAAGAAAAATAACTGTTATCAAAACTTTGGTTCTGCCTTTATTAAACCATATTTTTATGGCAATTTTAAACCCAGATGACAATTTTTATAAAGAGTTGGATAAAGTATTCTTTTCCTTCCTGTGGAACCACTCTCAACATAGAATAAAAAAGGATGTAATTGTTAAAACATATGAAGATGGGGGATTAAAGATGATAAATGTAAAGGCTTTTACATCTTCCTTACAATTATTTTGGATGTGAAAACTCCTACTGTCAAATAGAGATCTACATGATTTTATACCAATGTTAGATATAAATAAAGTTACAACATGTGGTATTGAATATATTAAAAATGTCAAAATATCACTAAAAACCAAATTTTGGGTTGATGTATTTGACTCATGGATTGAGCTACATCATAAACAAAACCCAACTGCAGTTACATCAAATGCTCCACTTTTTTATAATCCCAACATCCTTGTTGGGGGGAAAGTATTTTTCAATAAATCCATGTTTGATGCCAATATCCGACACCTTAATGATGTTATAAATTAACAGGGAGTTTTCTTGACTTATGAATCTGTTTGTGATATATATCCACAAGTTAAAATTAATTTTTTAGAGTACATGAGTATTATAAGTGCTCTTAAAGCATGGATGAAGAAAGCGAATTTTGATGGAAATGTCACTAAGTCACAAAACCCTCTGGTTTTGTCAAATATAAATACCCTTTTAGAATGCAAAAAATCAAGGCAATTTTATAATCTTCTCAACCAAAATAGCACAGAACCTACTGGTAAAAGAAAGTGGAATGAAATATTTGAACTGAACGACAAAGAATGGAAATTGATTTTTAAATTGCCTTTTAAAGTTACAAACAACTGCAAACTGCAATGGTTCCAGTATCGAATTTTAAACAAAATTTTGGCCTCAAACTCGTATTTATTCAAAATCAAAATCATAGATAACAAAAACTGTACCTTCTGTCAAGTGGAAGAAGAAACAATTGAACATTTGCTTTGGGAGTGTGATCATGTACAAGATTTTTTAAGAGAATTTGAAAATTACCTTGAAAATAAAACAAATCTTCAGATATCGGAAACAAAATATAATTTCATTTTTGGATTCTTAGATAAAAGGAAAAAGATACAAAATAATCTCATTCTATGGCTTAAATATTATATCTACACAATGAGGTGCACAGGGAAAACACTTAATGTACCTGCTGCGATATCGCTTATGAATACATTTTATGAAACTCAAAAATATATTGCATACAAAAATGGTGAAAAGGATATGTTTGATACCTGCTGGAACTACTGGAAGCTTTTATTTCAGTGAATATTTAGATCGATATAAATATTGTGAATGCATGCACTCCTCTATCTCTTCTCCCCCTCCCTATCTTTCTCTCCTCTCTTCTTCCCCCTTTCTCTTTCTCTCTCTTGCTAAAATGAAAAAAATTACACCTTCTGTATTTGTTATTAATCATTTATTGTATTAAATAACAGAATGTTTAAAACAAAAATAAAGAATTATAAAAAAAGAAAACCCCAGCAGAGATGGATGCGTGATGACGGTGGTCAATTAAATATTGTTATAGCAGAGACTTAAATCATTTTTAATTTTAACGGCTCTACAGTGTTTTTTTTTTTTTTTAATTTTTTGCTGGTTATCTGTTTTAAGAAAATGGATTAAAATTGGCCTTTCATTAAAGAAAAAAATCCTTTATCCAGTTATGATGGATTTTGACAACTTTTGGCCTAAAGGATCTTGAAAGAAATTCAAAAATAAGAAATTGCAGATGGACAAAACAGGTGTGAGGTGATCAGAAGACTGTTCAGTGCAAATAGTGGCAAAGCACCTAGCCTAAAAGCAAATATTTTAAAAGTTCTTGCGAGTATTTGTGTTTAAAACGAATTTGACAGATCATGCCAAAATTATTCTAATTAAATGAAACTAAATAATCTGTTGCTTGATCTTTGCCCTCTTTTCGGATGAAAATTAACCACCGACGGCCTAAATAATCCACTACTGGTCTTCCACCAATAGCGTCCAGTGATTCTTGGCATCTTGTTGGTCTCATTTGGGCACCAGCGCCTTCAAGGACAGTTGGCATTTGTTGGGGCAATTCAGCAACCAGCTGAATGGTTTTTATGGATTTATCACTGATGATGAAATCTTCTAAATCTATAGCCTTCAGAGTTTCCCTTATTGCATCAGTCATGTTGGAATCTTTGTCTAACGAAACCTCTTCCTTTCTCTCTGGAGGCCAGGTTTTACAGCGAATTACAGCTTTTCTAGTCGCCATCTTCTATAAAGCAACAAAGACATTTTAATATTGTCTTAAACGTAGAACTGATTCTGAACACTAAATGGACAAAATCTTAATATGCTGCCAGTTGGCATTTATATGAAAAATTTCTTTTATCGTCATCAAAAACAGCCAGCGATTTATCAAAAAATAATGAAGCTTACATGTACTTGTATGTGAAGTCTTGTTTTATCACATAAAATATCTAGTAGTTCAATTGCTTCTGAGTTCTTCAAACAACCTCAGACAGCTGCCGACCTGATCAACTTCAACAGATTATTAAAAACGTGTGTTGCGAAGCAAGTGGTAAAAACGCTGTAACAATACAAAAACAGAATATATTAAGAGCCATTCTCTGTAACCACTTAAACTTCGTTGCCACGCATGGTCATGGATTTTGATGAAACTTCACCCATGCTTAGTACTTGAAACCAGAAACAAATATCAAACAAAATTTCGTTGCTATGTGTCTCAGTTGCTATGGCAACAGCCGGAAAAGTTTGAAAAATTGAGATTTTCAGCCACTTTAAAGCTTGACTGTGGCTTAATAAAAACTAGAAAGAGCAAACAACCCATTCTCACAAAAACATGACACCTTGATGTCACTTATACTGTAAAGAAACTGTTTAGAATATATCTCTAAGTAAGTGGTTACCAAGGGTACATTTGGAATACATTTAAAATGCTGAACTATGTTGAAAAACATTCCGTATTCACTAATGATAGGTATTACATGCTCAAACTCAATCAACAACTTACGAAAAACAATGAAAATAGTTGACCTTCAGTATATTTAAGTATAAGCAATATTATTTTATAAATAACTTTTATGGTTGCCATGGTAACACAGTGTAACCATGCAAAACCAGTAACTAAGATTGGGTTAATGCTACTGTCTTGAGGAAAAACATGAAAATTAAAGACTGGCAAATATGCATCCTTAGGACCTTGCAACACCAAAACCATAAGAAAAATTGGGTGTAATTGCTACTTTGCAGTGTAACCATGGAAACAAAGTACCAGTGCTTAAAAGTGAATTATTTTTCGCTGCATTAAGAATTAAATTGCCATCTAATCAAGAAACAAATTAAAGGACTCAGCTTGAATAGTACTTATCTGTTAGAACTGAAGTTGAATACCATATATAATCAACAATGTTGCTATGGTGACCAAGAAGGGAAGATGTTCGATTTTGTGAACTTTATATCAATATTAAACCCTGTGTGCCAACTTCTTGCATCCACGTAGAGATTGGATGATAGTCAAAATTTAAAGTTAAGTTAGCTGTTAATAAATATCAATCATAAAAGTTTTGGGAATCTACATTTAAAGGTACGTATCCAAGGAATGAAAATATTTTTCAGGTTTTTCAGCATATATTTTTTGCTTATTTCCATAGCAACGCTCTATTTAAAGAATCTAATCTGAATTTTTTCAAATGGGAAAACTTGGAGCACACCAACATCTTATAAAATTGATCATTAGTTATGAGGAAATGTGCTTTTTTTAAAGATAGCATCAGAATAAAACATGCAGAGTGTTACTTTGAAGGCTCTCTGTGGTATAAAAACCTTGGCCACCATTACCAACCAAAATGTAATATCATACTTTGTTCTTGGTATATGTTTCAAGTCTCTTTTTTCTATTGTTTGGTCACATTTCATCCTACAAATGCTTTTTATTTTTACGTGTATGACTTTATAAAATTCAATGAATATTTTTTTTCTTTTAAATAATTTGTTACCATAGTAACGTATGTAATAGTTGATTTACCAAACATGTTTATCATGCATTTGAAACATCTGACCCTCAACTTTTGGAAACAGTCATTGGCAATTGATCGCTTTGCCGCAAATGTTAACTATGGGGCTCTAAACATGTTAAAAAATGCCATTTTTCGAACTTTAGGACATGTTGCCATGGTAACTATAAAACATAGAAACCAATTTTTGCCCTATTTCATTTTAGGGTATCAATGACTTTCATCATAGAGAGTTTGGAGAAATTCTGAGACTATGCGTGCCACAGCTCCTATATAAAATTTCAAATCATTACAGAGAATGGCTCTTAAATGTCTACAAAGAATCTGGGGGGATAAGGCGAGTCATATGCCTACGCAAGGGCAGGTAAAATATTGATTAAAAAATTCTTGCAAATTCAACTTTTTGTTAAATTTGGGAGTTATTTATAACCATATGCATACAGTAAAGATAAAATCTGAATCAAATGACTTACAAATTGATTGTAATTAACCCACCAAAATGGTAACACGCTTTAGTAACCGTAAAAATGATAGAAATGGAATGTTAAAACTTTGTTTTTTATATAGAGTGGGTCTTTGTACCATTTTTTTTGTAAACAAATATTGAAAGGGTATGGAAGGATGTATCTCTCACCATTTTCAAAAATATGGTACGAAGACCAACTCTATATAAACTAGAAATATGTCCATAGGACATGAATGCCCCGCCAAGGATATATTAGTAAAGCAACATGAAAATTCGTATGTGTATAAAATTTGATCAGTTTGGTTCAGGTAGGGGTTATAGTTACTTGGGAATAAAAATGTAGGTCAGATACAGCATCCGAAGCAAGTCTGGTAGTGTCCATCCCTAGATGCATCATCCATGCAAGTTTGGTTCAGGTAGGACTTATAGTTACTTGGGAAGGAAAATGTAGGTCAGATCCAGCATCCGAAGCAAGTCTGGTAGTGTCCATCCCTAGATGCATCATCCATGCAAGTTTGGTTCAGGCAGGGCTTATAGTTACTTGGGAATGAAAATATAGGTCAGATCCAGCATCCGAAGCAAGTCTGGTAGTGTCCATCCCTAGCTGCATCATCCATGCAAGTTTGGTTCAGGTAGGACTTATAGTTACTTGGGAATGAAAATATAGGTCAGATCCAGCATCCGAAGCAAGTCTGGTAGTGTCCATCCCTAGATGCATCATCCATGCAAGTTTGGTTCAGGCAGGGCTTATAGTTACTTGGGAATGAAAATATAGGTCAGATTCAGCATCCGAAGCAAGTCTGGTATTGTCCATCCCTAGATGCATTATCCATGCAAGTTTGGTTCAGGTAGGACTTATCGATACATTGGAATGAAATATAGGTCAGATCCAGCACCTGAAGCACGTCTGGTAGTGTCCATCCCTAGATGCATCATCCATGCAAGTTTGGTTCACGCAGGGCTTATAGTTACTTGGGAATGAAAATATAGGTTAGATCCAGCATCCGAAGCAAGTCTGGTATTGTCCATCCCTAGATGCATCATCCATGCAAGTTTGGTTCAGGTAGGGCTTATAGTTACTTGGGAATGAAAATATAGGTCAGATCCAGCATCCGCAGCAAGTCTGGTAGTGTCCATCCCAAGATGCATCATCCATGCAAGTTTGGTTCAGGTAGGGCTTATAGTTACTTGGGAATGAAAATATAGGTCAGATCCAGCATCCGAAGCAAGTCTGGTAGTGTCCATCCCTAGATGCATCATCCATGCTAGTTTGGTTCAGGTAGGGCTTATAGTTACTTGGAAATGGACCTACTCCAAAAACTTTAACTGGGTAGCTCATCTGGATAATGAAGGTCAGATCCAGCATCCGAAGCAAGTCTAGTAGTGTCCATCCTTAGATGCATCACCCATGCAAGTTTGATCCAAGTAGGGCTTATAGTTCCTTAGGAATGGACCTGCTCCAAAAACTTAACCTGGTCACTCATCTGGAAAATGTAGGTCAGATCCAGCATCTGAAGCAAGTCTGGTAGTGTTCATCCCTAGATGCACCATCCATGCAAGTTTGTATCAACATGTGAAGTTTGATAACACCATCTTGAATGGTATGTTTAAAACTGAGCTAAACACTAATTTAAGAAAAGTGAAGTCAAGGTCAAAGAAAAGGTCAAGGTCAAAAAATGTTGATGCAGTTGCATAGCTCTCATCAATATCTATCAGCATATGAAGTTTGATGAAAATATCTTGCATAGTTTCTGTGAAACTTAGCTTTAAACAGAGCTAAACTCAAAGTGTGACTGAAGGACAGAAGGATGGAAGGACGGAAAGACGGAAGGACGGAAGACAGACATGACAAACACTATATGCCCCGGCCATATTCATGGCGGGGCATAAAAAGTTAGTTTACCTCCTTAAATTTCGGAACATATTCTCGAAAACTCGAAGTCCAATTGTGCGTTTGCTATACATATAGAACTGTTTGATATTTAAAGGGCAATGGATGTGCGACTTAGTGGCTCAGTGGCCATACCGGCGGTGTTGTAGCACCCAATTATTTGTCGCGAGTGTTCGAATCACGATTTTTAAAGATAAATATATTTTTTCACTAAAAACAAAATGAATAGATAAGATGATGAATTTATTTACGATCAATTAATATATTTCCTTTAATAAACAAGTTTTCAAGATACAAATGTATATAACATTTTTAATGCATTCAGTCCAAGACTACATATTACACGATTGAAATATAAACAATAATGGGTAGACCAGCACGATATGGCTGTTCTGTGTGCAAAAACAGATAAAAGGAAAGGTAAAGCGTACTTCTCCCAAATTTGATAGAACAATTCACACGCAATATGAAAAGCATCACGTTGAAAAATACTGTAGCGATAACCGCAAGGTTTAAAAATATAGATATTGTCATTTGGACAGTGCTGTACAAAGTTTAAATGTTTAGGTAAATCGAACAATTATGAAATTTCCGATATGCGTACAGAGCGACAAAATCCGTGTGGGCATATGACTCACCTAATCCCCCAAGATTCTTTGGAGCGAAAAGGATCACTTCACATCCTCTTCACATAACGACCCGGCTTACAAATCCAACAAGATTTCATGTTATATTATAAAAAATCTATCTCAAAATAAATTGATCACACATTATTTGTTTATTCTAAATTTAAGGTGGTAACTTACATAGTTACCGATAGATCTTCGGACACAAACAACCACTTGATTTGATAAACCGGAAACACATGGGAAGAGCGCGGGCGGAGGGTCTGTTTACCCAAAAGGATGCAAAAGAACCCAAAATGATTCAAAACAGAAACTACAAGAACCCAAAAGGACTCGAAATGAAGGGGGGATGGTTTTTCAATGTCACGCATCCCTTCGCACAATAACTATATCATAAGCCTAGAGTAGGTCACAAAATAAAACTTGTTTCAACATGCGTGGATCTAGAGTGGGGTCCGGGGGGTCGTATCCTCCTCCCTGGAATTTAGGTACTAAAATCGTAGTTACTAAATTGATATGTTAAACCAAGTAAAAAGTTACCTTGGACCCCTCTAGAAAACGCGCACCTGTGTTAAGTTGGTATGAAAAGTAATATAGGTATGAAGCATTAGAAGTGAAAAGTCAACCCCCACCCCCAACGAAATAGGATTTTGGGAGAGTATTTTTTTTTAAATTTCATTTTTCTTGTCAACAAATTACTGAGTTGGATTTCTTTTTGAATGGGGAGGAGCTAGGACACCCCCCCCCCCTTGGAAAAAAAATTCTAGATCCGCGCCTATTTCAACACATAAATTTCGGTAAAATAGAAGGGAAATATCTAATAATATGTTGTTATTCAATTAAAACAAGTCATATCTAACAAGACTTTAAATTAGTTTTAGAGTATTGTATTGAAAAATATACATTGACCATTTCAACATATACGAGGGGTGATCAAAAAGTTCGCAAACTATCTCTATATCTACAAAACCACAATTCAGATTAGTATGAAATTCGGTACACACATAGCCATACACAAGGTCTATAAATAGCATATGCTGAATAAAGTTTCTTTCCTTGTTTGTGACGTTACAATGTGAAAATGACGTCACTATTTAGGTCACTTGTGACGAAAAATGGTTGTCTCAGTCGAACTCGTTCACCAAACGACTGTACAATTTATTGTAATATCTTAGAAATCCCTCTACAGTATCATATAATAATTTGTACACAGTTTATTGAGATAAATGAGTTCCTATAAATTGATGATTGGATTAATCGTTTTAGTGAAGGAAGGCTGATGGTTAAAAATAATACTTGTCATCTTGCCCAGTGAAAGCAAGTTTGAAAAGATATGTATTTTTAATTAAGCAATTTGCTATCAAAGACCTCCAATTAGCACTTTGAAAAATAGTTGAATATTTGAACAATGATATATATGGCACGCCAAATTCACAAAAATGAGATAAACCTAGTTTCACAATTGATAAACTAGGTTTATCGATTGTAAACTATAGTTTACAAACCGTAAACTATAGTTAACGATTCGTTAAGTATAGTTAACGATTCGTTAAGTATAGTTTTCATCTGTAAAACTATATTTAACGGTTGTTAACTATATAGTTTACGAATGATAATCTAAGTTTATCTGTCTGTAATAAGCGTTAACAATAGATTTTGTTGATAAACATAGATTCACGTTTGTAAACTATAGTTTACAATCGTAAACTATAGTTAAGAGTTGTTAATCATAGTTTCACAAATCGTGAAGCTATATTTATCAGATCGTTAACTATAACGGTTTGTAAACTATAGTTTACAAATCGTGAAACTGTATTTATCAGATAATCTATGTTTTGCAATTGCAAATGATTTTTTTCAGTGTTAAGTATAGTTTACGTTTGTGAAACATATATTATCGCGTTAACTATGGTTTACGGATATAAAATATAGATTAACGTTGTTAACTATAGTTTACAGTCCGTAAACTATAGTTTACAACCGATAAACCTAGTTTATCGACTGTGAAACTATGTTTAGCTCATTTTTGTGAATTTGGTGTGCCATGGATTTAAGTATCAAATACCTAAGATATCGTTTACTTTAGATTTTAAACATATTAGATATGATAAAAAGGATGCACCCATTCTCTATCCACCTTGAATAAAGGTCTCTCCTGAGACAGAAGATTTGTGTTTTAATAGTCGCCATGCTTATTTTTGGAAAGGATGTTATTATCCACCCATTCTGTTGCCGAGATATGACCATCTCTGACAAATTTTAAAACTGTTGTTGTCATAAAAATTAACTCGCATGGAAAGAAATATAAAACTCGGAAAAATCTTTTAACTTTTGTGACAGAACGCTACGGAGGGGGTCACGTGACCGCCAATATCACCTGATTCGCGCATGCGCAGAACGGTGGTTGATGTGCATTAATTTAAAATATAATCAACATTAGGCCAGCATTTTTTTATTTCTAGGTTTACAAACCCGCCGCTCAAGTTTTTGAATTTTCAGAAAAAAAATAAAATTGAGAAAAACAGGATTTTTTCTTTCCGATGTCAAATTTGAGTCGGGATCGAGATTTCAAATTTACGAACTCGTACTTCCGGTTTTTAATGAACATGGCGGGTAATGAAAGGAGATTTGTGTCAAGTCCATAGCAGCACTAAAGCTTGGTTTAATGTAAATGTTTATCGATAGGAGTGCCATTCAAAACGTTTCACCCGTTCAGAGAACAATAAAATGCTGACGACTTTGTTGCAAAGTGACATGTTGGTGAGATATAATATTATGTATCCGCATTCAAAAGTAACTGTCTGTGATTGTAAATTATTTTCCTCCCACATGTTTAAAACTGCCCATGGTAGCTATTGTCAGAGACATTGTTTAGGTTTCTGTCATAGCTTACAGTCTAAGCATCATTCTTCAGAAAAGGGTCGCTTATGCATCAGATGTAATGAATAAAACTATGGGAGAAGTTAAGTCCATTTTAGAAGAAATAAACAATAGCCTAAAGAAATAAAATATTTCAACTATTTAAAAACAAGAATATACAAATATATACAGGCATGTAGTATCGTTTATGGCAGCCAGAAAAATTTTTTTACACTCAATTGAAAAAAATTTCACCCTACTCCTCAATACTCCTTGGGAATACTCCCTGTCTGTTTTATGAAAGGAATTATTACTTTTATAGGTCTCGAGTATATTAATATTTTAGAATAATTTCTACCTAACACACATTAAAAACAAAAATGAAGATATATTAAAAGAGAATTTCAAAAATTGATTTAAAAAAAAAATCTGTATTTTGTCCAACATCAAAAGATTTATATCACTGGTTGATGATGAGATAAACAATTAAAGATTGTATTTTCCCCTTTGTAACCCTTATGTGTCCAGTGGCAAGAAGCCTGTTAGGAGAGCATAAAAAAAGAAGCAAAAATTAATGTAGAAAAGTCGATAATGTATCCAAAATATAATTTTATTTTTTTTTTATTTCCTCCTCCTACGGGACTTTTTCATTCTGATGTTCGTAAACCTAAAAATAAAAAAATGGTTTTAATAAAACCAAATATTGTTTCTTGTATGGAAGTTATTCAATTAGTTTGCGAACTTTTTGATCACCCCTCGTAAATGCATTAAGTTTAACATTTATTATCTAGTATACTTTTATACATATTAAAATTTTACAATCTATAACTTCAGATGCTTCAGTCCTGAAAAATAAAAGAACAAAATATGACTGATATATTAAATATGTTATAATCTGTTAAAAATCATATGTCGAAATTTCTCATTTACAAATACATTAAGTACGCGGTAAATAATCCTATTTTCCCATCATTCAAAACACGACAAATACTGATTTGGGAGTAAAAAGACTGTACCTGCCACTGCGCTCTGGAAACCTGCATTGTAATCACACGCGACTTCGTTACTGACGTAATCCTTCCTGTCGTCTGTATACTGGTCGTTCCCGTTAGGCCCGCCCACCAGGGCCCCGTACAAAGTGTGGGGGTTAGGACCAGGCTGCTGTTGGTCAGCGAAGGAACATGGAGATGGGCGACTCGGACAGGAACTGAGAAGGAATTATAACAACAGATAACACTTAATTGGTTGTATTATATAAGTGAACTTTTTTTATTTTACGCATTATAGATGAAAATTAGGCGCCATCTATAAACCTTATTGAAATCGTAAAAAATTAAAACGCGTCCCTATCAATGTAAAAATTTATGATAAGATGATATAAACATGTTAAATTTAAGAAGTACAGAACTTGATATAATTAATATGAATAGGTACACTTTACAACTCTTTGTTTGCGTATTAAACTTGTTTTTTAATTCTAATGAATCTGGTGCACAAATGCTACAGATTTGATTCATTGTATTTTTTGGCATTCATAATAGCGCGGAAGTACATGTATTTTAACTATTATTCCCTCCCAACGGAGGGGATGTATAGTAACGAAATCCCGTGTGTGGTCGTCTGTGGGTGAGTTAATTCTGTGCGAAACGGAAGTGAAATCATTTGCATTGGGGGTTTGATGTCGAGTGCTGCTGTCTTTCCACAATTTTATTAAAATATGAAAGTAAAATAAATTTTCTGTTATGGCCTCTTTAAAAACAAAGTTTATTTTAAAATAAAATTTGTGGAAAGACTCTGTCTTGATTTATAGATAACCTCTTTGCGAAGGGATGCTTGCGACTGAAAATGAATTGTTGAATGCTACTCACCTAGACCTATGATGTGGTCTTTTAGGAGGGTTAGTTCCAAACCCAACAACAAAACTCCGGCCACTGTCACCGAGGGCATATCCTATCTGTGTCCTCGCCCAATGACGGTATTCATCTGGGTGAATTCCAACATCCGCAGCTAACAAGGCCATGAAAGCCATGTTTGCTATATATAAAAAGACACACCAATTTTTTTTAATGACAATTCCATAAATTGTAGTTGATGAACGGATGCCACGTTTAAAGCGGAGAAACGCATAATTTACGAGAAATGTTACCCGAAGCGGGCAACAATTTTTTTTTTTTTTAAATCGTCTTAATCATCCTAGAATGATGAAAAAATGCGTTAAGCATACAAGCGTATCTGAGTGCACCCCATTGGGACCGGAAGGCCATTCCCTTAGGACTGTACGGGATACTGCCGCCCGGCATCCAATCGTTAAATGTTGCCTCGATGTCGTTCTTGTAAATGTCTTTTCCAGTCATATTATAGAGAAGGATCTAAAGAAAATGTTTGTTTACTTTAACAGAATGTTTGACAACTAAATGATGCCAAAACAAGAAACTTGTTACAGAATATTGTACACATTAACTCATTTCGTCGAAACAGTCTATTCCTATTTTTAAAATACACAAGTAAAACGTATATTATTCTGAAATTGACATTAAATTTAAATATTCGTTCACATGATGACATATTCACTGTCTTGTTGTAAATTGTTAACGTCCAGAGATGAAGAGTTTACTATATTAGTCCACGGTTTACCATATTTCCGGAATATTTGTCGTCCCAAGACTGTCCCCAATCCGGTCCTGTGATATAAAACTGTTCAGCCCAGCTTAGGTACTTAGTGTCATTTGTAACTCGATACAACCAGGCGGCACCCCATGTTAACTCATCTTCATATTTATCTGATCTAAATGAAACCATTCGAACACTATTCAAATCCCTTTTTAATCTTTCTTAAAATAACAGCTGTAGTTAAACTGCATTAAGAATTATGAGTAACTCGTATCTGTTCATTTAATCAGGCTGATATTACATGTTTTAAGCGGCTGCTCATGTTAATTGTATCACCTACCTACCTACCTACCTATCAATATAGGTTAATATTTCATGTTTTAAGCGGCTGCTCATATTAATCGCATAAGTAGGGCCAAAATAAAAAAAATACCTTGGTTTGTTTTCCCTAACGCGACCGACCCAACTAAATCGCACCGACTGATAGATTTTTTAAAGAAGATGATTCAAATATTTTTTTGGTTAACAAGTTTAATAAAATTCAATTTTATCAAAATCAATTTTTATCTGAACGGCCAACATTGTTCCACTGTGATTTTCAAGCATTTGTTGGAAACAAAATGGCGTCCAGATGTGATTACAGAGAATTAATTCTTCACAATACAATGGCGACGTCTCAATCTTATGCCTTTAACTTATTAGAATTCTTCACTCTTGAAACAATTCGATAATAAAATTTACCATGACTAATTAAGAGTGTTTCGATGGTGTCATGGCGTCTCCATGTGAGTGAATAAATTTTCGAAAGGGACCTTAAACAACAAACAAACAAACCTGTATGTTGAATTTAAGATACGTAAAAACATGGAAAGGACCGCCTCATGAGCAGATGAGAGGCCCACCTCGTGAACACATCATTTAATTTCAATGCATTTTAGTTAATTTGAGTTTTGATCTAATAAACAGTTTATCTATGTTCCTATGTTTACTATATGCCATTGAAGGACCGTTTTCAATGTTCCTCATTGGTATTTGAACCTGAGACTTACTTCTTAACTCCAAAGCAAAATGCTCTAGAACCAGTGCAAATCTCACGGCCCTTAAAAAAGTAAAATGATTGTTTATAAGCACTGGAGGATGATGGAAGGTTTGAAAAAATAGTTAGCGTATTTGAGATTCTTGTCTTTTCTTTTTTTTTTTTATTTGATTTATATAAATGTTCTCTGGCGTGAGATATTTCACAAGTTCAACTAAATAACAGTTGCGAATTAATAAAATTTTGTTTTTAAACGGCATATACATGTACATGTATAACACTTAGCAATTTGTTCACAAATCGCTTTCTGTTGTACTTTTCTTATTTTTAAAGGTAAATTTCCATGAAATTTTAGAATGTATTTTCAAAGCTGCTGTCAGATAGAAAAATTGTTTACCTACCTACCGACCCAACTTGAGAATTTAGGGTCGGGTAAGGGGAAACAAAGATATTTTTAATTCCGGCCTAGGTTGATATATATTACAGTTTGTAAGCGGCTGCTCATGTTTATTGTATCAGTAGGTTGATATTACCTGTAATAAGCGGCTGCCTGATTTACACTGTCGCTGTATCTAGCTTTATGGTGAACCGCAAAGTCATATAGCTGTTTAGCATGAGTCAACAATTTAGTAGCAAATTCTGGGTCTATTTAATAGAAATAAAAACTGGACATATAAATTGGTCAAATGGAATTAAAACATGGAAAATTGAAATAAGTATTCTTTATCTTACCCTTTTCTTTGAAAACCAGGTAAGACACAGCAAACGCGGCTGCGTATTCTGCAGCGATGTCACTTCCGGGTCTGCTGGCTGTGATTTTATATGCTGGTCTTGACATAGTCATGTCTTCCGGTCTTCCCCAGAAACCATGATCCTGTCCGCCATCCCCTACCTTATAAATATTTTACTATAGGATTTTTGTCGTTGAGTTATATAGTTCAAAGAAAAAATAAACAAATATAATTTGTCCAAGAACGATATATAATTTCTATTCACTAAGAATCAGTCTATAAACGAGGTTTATTTATGTCTACCTGTACATATAATTCATTTGGTCCTGTATGACATTTAAGCATCCATTCCAGTGGCCACC